CTTCCAAGAGTACACAAAGGATGGACGAACACTGCATGGAAAAACACACGTCATATTCCAGTACAAGAATCCAGATGAAGACCCCATACCAAAAGTTAGTTTACCTTTACTGAAAACCCGCCAACCAGCCATGGAATCTTCTCAGCCTTTTCAAACCAAGGAAAGCCACCTCAGTTTAAAAGATCGCCAAAAGAGTCGCTCCCTGGTTGGAGTTGAAACAGAGCCTAAGCTTCCTTTGTGTCCAGCAGAACCTCTTGACCACCTGAATATCCTCTGGCATTTGGTGCATAGCTGCCCTACTGTACTATTGGAGGACCTGAAACCCAGTTGGGTTGCTCCAACATGGAGTTCATTCCAGGCATTTCTAATCGCAGATACCATCCCTGCAACTGTGATCAGCTATGGTCCCTTCTTCCCCAAGTCACCAACAAACCCAGATGTGCTTGAACAGTCTGTTCAGTACTGCATGGATGTGTCGAGAAAACATGGTCAAGAGTATACCATCATAACATGTGACCAAGCAATCTATGAGGTTGTTCTGAGTCTGCAAAAGAAGAACAAAGAAAAGTATGCCAAACTTATCTTGCGCATAGGTGGCTTCCATATTGCTCAGAATTTCCTTGGAGCCATTGGGCATTTGATGCAGTCCACTGGAATCGAAGACATCATGGCCGAAGCTGATATCTGTCTCCGTGGAACAGCAAACAAAATCATCAGTGGGAAAGACTACTATGCAATGCTGCACGCACACACTATGGTGTATGCAGCCATGTTTGCCCTACACTGGGAAGCATTTGCCAAATGGTTGATCAATGAAGAGAATGACCTGGAGTACATGTGTGTGCTTAGCAACAATGTCCAGCTACTCCTAGATGCCCTTTCAGAAGAGGATGTAGAGAAGGAAACTTCTGCGTGTGCTGATTCAACTGATCAACTGAAAAAGCTGTCATGTTTGATGGCTGAGTTTGATGAAGCACGTACCTCACCTACCACAAAACTATGGCTAATGTACATGGATCTGGTAATGATTCTTAGACGGTTCATCCATACTGAGCGTGCAGGTCTGTGGGAGGAACACCTGGCTGAAGTGGAAAAGATGTTACCATACCTTGTAGCTGCTGGCCACTACAAGTATGTATCCTGCCTGCCCCACTACCTAGAAGCTATGAGAAGCTTGCCTACACTAGCTCCAAACATATATAGAGAATTTAAGGATGGGAAGTTCACTGTACGTCAAACAGAAGGACGGTTCAATAGTGTCTGAACAGACATGGCACTTGAAAAAACCTACAATCGTGATGCCAAGACAAAACTCTTTACTGGCATCAGTCAGCAGCCAGCAGCCATGGAGAAATACTTGAAAGCTCTTCCAGTTCTGACAGCTGTGTCAGAGCAGACAAAGGCTTTGGCACACCTGGATGTGGATGACACGAAACACCACAAGGACAGCCAAGGTGCAAAGGAGGCAGAAGGTGTAAGGAAAATAACAGATGTCTTCAACAGCCAAATGATCAATCCTTTTTCATGTGAAGAACATGAGCTGATCAACATTTCAACAGGCCACAAAGCCACATCTGCTGACTTGATCTGCGCTTGCGAAAAAGGACTGGGGGCACTGGCTGCAGCAAGAAGAAACGACAGTGAGAAAGTAGCCCAAATTAAACTTTCAACCTTTGCAGCAAAGCCAAAGAAGTCAATGTCCATGGCGTTCAAAGCCAAAAAGGTCTATGAGGAGGAGAGTGCAGTTGTTCGGAACCTGTACTTTGTTCAGGACTTAGAGGAAGACAGGAAGGTGGAAGTGTTTGGCCATGAATGGACAAGTTGCCCAGCCTCTCTTTTTGAGCCAGATCCGTCCCTTGACCAAAATTACGCAATGCGTAAAGGAAACAAGGCAGACTACCTAGACTACCTACCGTCGTCTCTCACTGATGTCGCGACGCTCATACATAATTTTTATTCTCGCACGACTCATGTCACGAGACGGTCTGACTAAACAAAATCACGGTTAACTAACGCAGTAACGCAGGCTGTTTACGGGGAAGTAACGGTAATCTAATTACTGTTTTTTCAATTGTAATCCCTTACTTTACTCGTTACTACTGTAGAAAAAAGTAATTGGATTACTCGTTATAAGTAACGCGTTACTGCCCATCAGTAGTTAAGAGTGAGCGCTCATCAGCGGGAGACACGCATAACCTGCTTTATATGAGGTTGAACTGGCCGTGTGACAAAGCAGGCATAAGATGGACACGAGCGCGAGTTCGTGGGAGAATTTAATAACGCGGGGCGTTGTTAACTAAGTGGTCCATATATAAGAAGATCCGGATTATAAGGCACACTGTCGTTTTTTGAGAAGATTAAAGGCTTTTAAGTTCGCCTTATAGTGCGGAAAATACGGTAAATCTTACAGAGAAGAGTCAAACTCCGTTTTATTCAACTGTCCGACGTGCTTTCTCTTTAAATGTTCGTGCATCTCCGAGGTGCTGCCGTGATAGCAAGGACTGCTTTGCATGATACAGGTAATCTTTTTTATTCACCGTATCCAGGCTAAAATGCTCTCAAACTTTAGATGTTTTGGTATGTGCAGCTGCTGCGTTGGACACTGCCATTTCTGTATTTTCTGTTCTGTTATCGCTCAGCAGAGAAGCGAATGCGTATGTGCTCGGTCGAAAAAAAACCCCCAAAAAAACATGTCTGGCGACAATTCGACAATGAAATTCATTGTCGACTATTTCTATTATCGATTTTTGTCGACAACGTCGACGAATCGTTGCAGCCCTAAAGGAGACATGCATTGCCTTCCACCAACTGAAGATGCCTTCCTATTACACCTTCGACGAGCCCTGCATCAGTTGGCTGTGTGTAAGCGGGCACACATGGTTACGCCAACCTACCCAGCTGCCACAGGTTTTGGGAGACAACTTGTCAATGGAAAATTGGTGGCAACCATGATGTTGAAAGAGGCAAAACCTGCTGAACTCAATCACATCAAATACTGCCGCTGCAAGAAAAGCATGTGTGGCCGAGGATGCTCCTGTGCAAGAGCAAATGTGAAGTGTGGCATTGCATGTCTCTGGCACTGGGGACCCCAACAGATGTTCAAGGATTGAACTTGAAGACAGGGACACGCAAGTAGGCCACGAGAGAGAGAAGGGGGGTGCATCTTTTATAGCGCTGCTGTATAACCCACCCTGCCATTCTTGTTTGCTGTCTCCTCGGGTGGTGAGGGTCTGTCCCCAGAGCAGTATCTGTAGTGTGCCACCCTCCTGATTATCCCACCTCACAGGGACCTGCACCTAGTTAATTAAGTTATGTTATATGATTTTGTTCTGTTAAAGTTGTAATAGTTGTCACCTGAGGCAATAAAATAATGAAAGATATTTTGCTGTATTATATTTCTTGTGTGACACATTTCCTTTGGGAGAACAGGGTAATGTTTAAATGAAAAAGATGCGTAGGCAATATTGTTTAATAATGTGGACATCAACAACCCTGTTAAATATACAGTATGTCTTTCGGAATTTTAATAGTAGTCAAAAATTAGATTGAAGTGCTGAGCCTGTTGATTGCCAACTAGTAGTGAAATCATCACAGATCCATTGATTTTGGTTCAATTTTTATATTTTTTTCCGTTGAATGAGCACACAGTTTGGCGAAAAGAATGAGATATTGACTGATGTCATAATTTTGGGGAATGGTTGATTGCCAATGAAGTAAAGATGAAAATATTGAAAAAAAGTGAAAAAAACGCATATTTTTTGCATGAAATTGATGCAAAATCATGTAGAAATGTGTTTTAAGAGTTATTTTTTCAGTGGATGTTGTCTGCACATGAGTTCTGTGTATCTGGAATGCATTTATTGACAGCCTACCCAATCCACTGAGGATTTGAGGAAAAAAATAAAAAATTCACATTTTTTCTGATAAAAAAAAGGGTAAATAAAGTGATTTTTTATACTAATACTATTTTAAAAATATTCAAATAGTAAACAAAAACCTAACTAAGTCAGGTGCAATCTTCCCCTGCCTAGTAAACGTGAAGTCTGTCAGAAACAGAGCACGAGCGTGATCAGTTTACTGTTGGTAATGTGTTGTGTAGCTTCGTCCCTCGCCGCATCCAATGCAGACTGCATAGCTTTCTTTTGAGGGCGCTTAACACACTCCAGCATTCCCGTAGAGCCAGGGCGGGCAGCTCGCACCAGGGGCTCGTTCTTCGTACGTCGCTAACTCAGTTAGCTGGATTTGATTGTTGGCGATTTGCCATGATCTTGGATCGTTTGGTTCTTCAACGCTCATCCTGGACTTGCTGTCATAGCAACAGGTCCGTCAGCTTGAACCTGCTCGCGAGCAGGCTTATTTCATGTAAACAGGATTAGATCGCGACTGATACAGGAAGTCCTTTAGCGCAGTGTGACAGTGTAGCCTAATTTCTGAGATTTTTTATTTTTTTTTTCTTTTCTTGTGAAACGATCGTCGTGAGGGTGTCGTAAATACATTATTTTGTTGGAAATGCACATTAATGTTCGATTCGATGTCGGGCTTCAACAACAGCACAAAATGTTTGCATTGCCCTAAAATTATTTGCGAGTGGCTTCCCTTTACACTATTGGAGATTTTTTGCCAACTTAGGGTATATTATAATTTTTAATGAAGATAATGCAATCATGATGACCATGCTGATTATGACTTACAGTCCCTCAGGCTTAACTTACGTGATTGGTGCCATACACTGTAGATTGCACACATGTTCCCATCAAGGCCTCAATGAAGGGATTTTGTGAGCAGAAAGGGGGCTTAAAAGTGTTTTGCCTCAGGCTATAATGCAAATCGATTTTTTAAATTTATAAATTCATTGCAACTTGATATTATAATATTGACGATATGGCTATTATCTACCACACAAACATTGAATTAGCATATCCATTATGTAAAACAGTAGCCACTAGCCAATAGGTTAACGTTACTATAAAGACGCTGTTACTCTTGGGCTTTTGCCTCCGGCATCGTCCTGTCAGTCATCGCACCTCACTCTAGTCATGTGACTCCTGTGGCTCAACTTACCTCAGTATCTCCAATTTACACTTTATATTCTTCAGTCCAGTGCAGAGCAGCTTCACTCCTGAATCCTGCAGTTTATTATTGTTCATGTTCAGCTCTTTCAGATTGGTGTCTGATCCAAGAACTGCAGCCAGAGTTGAACAGCTTTTGTCTGTTAAGTTACAATCATTTAACCTACAATAAAGTCACAACACAGTATTAGATGGAACACATAGATTTTATACAAATATTCAAAACATTTTCCATTTATTTTTTACATAAACAGCATATACAGCAAAGAGGCTGAGTTAAACTAACATTTTAACCAACAGGGTGTCTGTTTTTGTGACTAACGTTTCTTTAGTATAACCATGGAGTATAAAATTCAATATAAATTCTCGGTTTTGCATTGGACTCTATGATCGGCGGAAGTTATCGAGCATCCTTAGACCTTCACCGGTAATACCACCGTGCATAGAGCCCATTTATGTCACCTGATGGAGTTAAGGTTCTTGCCACTGTTGCCTCTGTCTTTCTTAGATGGGGTCACTTAATAGGGGTGTGCACAAACATCGATTCACATTTGTATCGCGATTCAAGCTTTACCGATTCAAAATCGATTCATAGAACTCCAAAAATCAATTCATATATATATATATATATATATATATATATATATATGTATGTATATACATACATACAGGGATGGAGTGGCAATCAGGAGAGTCTGGACTTTTCCCAGTGGTCTGGTAGTGTTTCAAGGCCGCGAGGGCCGGTCTGATAATAGTGATACATTGCAAGTTCTTAGCAACACCATCCGACGGACTTGTGTACGGCCGCTTCCCGCTGGTCAAACTGTGCAGCCTCTCTGCTCAACCCATTAATAAATTCATTGATCCGCATATTTTGAACGAATAGAGAGTCTCCGCAACGGCGATAGATTGAAGAGTGCGTCTGAGTGAAGACTGTGCGCGCGCCACAAGAGAACAACTGTATCCATGCAACTGATAGCAAAAGTTTTTATTTTCGTATGAAGAAATATAAATGTAATATCAAAATACATTTAATTTGCTGTTTCTTTTCTTTTAAATTGTATGTCTACTGCAATCAATCACATAGGAAAAAGTAAACTACATTTACATACCGAAAATAGATTTTGAATCGAATCTTGAGTCTAAAAATTGATATTGAATCGAATCGTGACATTTTCTGAATCATGCACCCCTACTTAATATTCAACATTATCATCGACTTGACTGCAACGAGACCATTATATGACAGTTCACACTTATGCGGCAAGTGAAAGGCATTTCACTATAATACTAAAACTGCCGCTATTCACATGCACATGTCCTTTTGACATAATATATTTAATGATTTAAATAAAGCTACGATTCTCACAGTCTTCGTCTGCATCAGTCTGTCTTTGTCTATTCACTACACTACCCAGAATCCTCCTCGTCTCCACACCTGAGCTCACTCCCTCACTTACCAGCCTGTTCTTCGTTGTCATCATCTGTCACCTGTCTTCACATCGTTATGGTTCATTTGTCTCTGTATTTAGTTCTCTCAGTTCATTCAGTCTTTGTCGGTCGTTGTGAATGTTAGCACACGTTAATGCTGATGTTTATGTTTTCTGTGTATTGTGGATCTTCTGCCCATCAACCTGACTGTACCAGTTTGTTTTATTTTTATATTAGTATAATATTAATATTATTAATATATTATTAATATTAGTTATTATTTAATATTATTTTTATATTAAATCTTTGATTTGGAGCTTTTGCCTTTTGATTCCTCCTTCCTCAACCCGCACTACACCGTGACAATGATTACTTAAATCTAAGAATTTTTTTTTTTTTTTTTATATGTTAAGGTTAAGGTCAATCAATCATGGCTGATGCCAATATATTAGAGTGCAGGGTGGCCAATGGGTGACAAATCATTAGTAAAGCAGCATCCATGACAATTGCTGAAATTAAATGTATTGTTATTTTACTTAATTACTAAATTAGGAAAATATTTATATTTAAAAAATATCTGAAATTTTGAACAATACAATCTGAAAAACCATCTGATGTGCACATCAAATATGATACAACAGGGTTTTGATAAATGTTTATTTTGTAAATCTCTCGATCTACATATTGCATTACATTATTATTACATTATGAAATATGAATTTAAATATATAATTATTTGGAGAAACAGGACAACTAATATATGATGTTGTAATATATATGTACTTTGTATATTTCATTAAATTTGTTATGTCAAAAGGACATGTAGATGTGAATAGAAGCATTTTTTTTTAATTATTATAATTTGTATTGTTGTATTTGTATATGTGCACTGGAAGCCTCAGCACCAAAATACTTGGCCATAAAGCTTTTTCTTCTTCTTCTTCAATTAAGTAGTCAGTGTTATAAAAATCTCAATGTTTTGTATCATAACTTTCAGAATTTCATCTTACTCTTTTGCAATATAAATAACATTGTACAAAATATTTGTAATAACCGAGATGTTCCATTTTAGTCGCTCACGTTCGACGTGACATCAACGTGACGACGTTAGGGGATCCCATGGAAAACGGCATCGGTTGCTGCCACATCCAGCGCCCTACGCAAGACTATCAGACCCCCAACTGCTGGGGCAGAAGACCTGCGTAGAGGGAGTTCAACTGCTGTTCCATTATACCCCATACAGTGAACTCTTGGATAACACTGGGAAAGCGTACCCTTCAAGAGGAAAGGGGCACTGCAGAATCACATCCTGCCGAAGGGTGGTAACATGTGGACAATAAAGAAATCGACTGGCCGGAGGGGCAGTGCAACATATGGAATGTCACTGGGGTGGCTCCAGCCCAAAGGGGGAGGGCTACACCGTACAGTGACGGCAGAGCAGACTCTGCCAAGGGAAGACACGGGCACACGGCAAGGAGCTGGTCGTGGAAAAATACACATATGGGATCGCCGCAGGGATCACTACATATGGAACCCAGCCTAGCACAAGTTACACAAGCATACGGCAACAAGGCCTGGAACGTGGAAAACCTAGCAAACGTGTTAGGTGTCGCCCAGCCCGCAGCTCTACAGATGTCTGTCAGCGAGGCGCCGTGTGCCAGCGCCCAGGAAGAACCAAGACCCCTAGTGGAGTGGGCTTTCATTCCAGGCGGGCAGGGCATGCCTTGGGCATCATAAGCCAAGGCGATAGCATCCACTATCCAGTGGGCCAGCCTCTGCTTGGAGACAGTCTTCCCTTTCTGCTGGCCTCCATAACAGAAGAAGAGCTGATCTGAAGTCCTGAGGCTTTGCGTTCTGTCCATGTAAAGACACAGAGCGCGAACGGGACAGAGACAAGCCAGGGCTGGGTCTGCTTCATCCGAAGAAGAAAAACATCTCTTGAAAAAAGATGCCAATTAAACATTTGTATTAATATAGTACTAGACACAATTTTTGATGAAATATACAGCTCTACACATTATTGGCTGAATAACTGGCACGAAGATAACACACAAGCTTAGTCTAAACAGTTCTCGGTTCTATAGCCTACTAGTGATTCGAGAACCGCTGTCCCTGTGCGTTCGGTATACGCACGCAGTATCAGCTGCTCGTGCTCATCACTTCTCCATGTCTCGGTTCAGTGAACTGTTGGAGTTACTGGAGTAAAATATAATTGAGGATATTGATTTATTTCGATTCGGAGGCGACTGTCAGGCTTGTCTGAAAGTGAGTAACTTTAGTAACTTGTGGATCAGCAGCACTGACGCAAGACGCGAACTGTTTCGAACGATTCAGTTCGATTTAGTGTACTGGTTCGACCGGTTCACTAAAAAGAACCGGTTCAAAAGAATGATTGGTTCACGAACCGGCCATGTCTACGATCACTACAGTCTGCAGAGAGATGGAGGCGGCAAGAGAAAAGGTGAAGACTGGGGAGTGGAAGCAGCGCAAATACACAAATAGAAAGAGTAAAAGTGCGGGAGACACAGAGCGCGAACGGGACAGAGACAAGCCAGGGCTGGGTCTGCTTCATCCGAAGGCAGCGCTTGCAGGTTCACTACATGGTCCCGGAAGGGAGTGGTAAGAACCTTGGGCACGTATCCGGGCCGGGGTCTCAGGATCATGTGAGAGTTATCCGGGCCGAATTCCAGGCACGATTTGTCGACCGAAAATGCATGCAGGTCCCCTACCCTCTTGATAGAGGCCAATGCAACCAGGAGAACTGTCTTACAGGACAAGATTTTTAACTCAGCTGATTACAGAGGCTCAAAGGGTGGTCTCTGAAGTGCCAAAAGGACCAGAGACAAATCCCAAGAGGGTATAGAGTGGGCGAGGAGAATTCAGTCTCTCAGGAACCTGACGATCATGTCGTACTTCCCCAAAGACTTACCATCAACAGCATCGTGATGTGCAGCAATAGCGGCAACATTCACTTTAAGGGTGTAGGGAGACAGCCTAAGCCCCAACCCTTCTTGTAGGAAAGAAAGCACGGCTCTGATCGAGCAAGATCGGGGGTTCTCCTCATGGGAGGAGCACCAGTCAACGAACAGGTTCCACTTCAACACATAGAGGCGCCTCGTAGAGGGGGCTCTAGCGGAAGGGATGGTGTCAACTACCGCAGGGGGTAGGTCACCTAGAACCTCTGTGTCCCATCCAGGGACCAGACATGGAGTTTCCAGAGGTCTGGACGTGGGTGCCACAGGGTGCACCGTCTCTGAGAGAGCAGGGTCACGCTTGTGTTGCTCTTTTAGTCTTTTAGCTTGTGTTGCTCTTTAGTAGTAGTAAAAAATAAAAAAGGTTGGAAAATACTCACAGTGCTGAGGCGCCCAGGGGTAGCCACTGTGTGAATGCACACACACATGAAACGACACACACACACACACACAGACACAAACAATAGTGCTGTGAGAACAGCAGTTGAGAGCTGCACTGCTTGCGGCCACCGCTGATCGCGCCGTCACACCAACACTGCAGGCAGAGAGATCTCCTTTGAAGTCTTCAAAGCGCTGAATTCTTTTAGACAGAAGTCTCATAGAAGCTCAGCTCCGAAGTGAAAGACAGTGTGTGCGTGCGCACGCTTCCTGTTTTATACCCGCGCGGGGGCGCGTGGCACATTCATGCACGCCAGTGATGCGCGGGTTGATCAGAAATGAGCGGGTGCCTGCGGTCACCCGCGGTTACGGGTCATTCAAAAATGTTTTTAATGATATTCGGGTCGCGGTCGGTCGGGTCGTTTGAAAAAAGATGCCAATTAAACATTTGTATTAATATAGTACTAGACACAATTTTTGATGAAATATACAACTCTACACATTATTGGCTGAATAACTGGCACGAAGATAACACACAAGCTCAGTCTAAACAGTTCTCGGTTCTATAGCCTACTAGTGATTCGAGAACCGCTGTCCCTGTGCGTTCGGTATACGCACGCAGTATCAGCTGCTCGTGCTCATCACTTCTCTGAACAGTGGCACCAACATGTCTCGGTTCAGTGAACTGTTGGAGTTACTGGAGTAAAATATAATTAAGGATATTGATTTATTTCGATTCGGAGGCGACTGTCAGGCTTGTCTGAAAGTGAGTAACTTTAGTAACTTGTGGATCAGCAGCACTGACGCAAGACGCGAACTGTTTCGAACGATTCAGTTCGATTTAGTGTACTGGTTCGACCGGTTCACTAAAAAGAACCGGTTCAAAAGAACGATTCGTTCACGAACCGGCCATGTCTACGATCACTACAGTCTGCAGAGAGATGGAGGCGGCAAGAGAAAAGGTGAAGACTGGGGAGTGGAAGCAGCGCAAATACACAAATAGAAAGAGTAAAAGTGCGGGAGACATTTGCTGAAATAATTAATAATGAAAGATGATGACCAAAGTGCTGGCTTTGCCTTTGTTATGTGTAGGCAGGCCTACGTCTTCTGGCGACGCTGTGTTGTTACGTCTATGGCCCAATAACGCTCCGATGAGCATTTACTACTTTAAAAAAATGCGGTCAGGAAGCGGGTCGGGTACAATATTTTTTTTACTTTTTTTTTGCAGTCCGAGTTGCGGGCGGGTAGTTGAAAACGTCGGTCGGTTGCGGGTTGTTTATACATTGACCCGCGCATCACTGATGCACGCCAACGTTCATTGGCTTGTTCTTTAGATACTCGAAGTTGATAGGGCTCCCTGAAGTGATCCCCTAACGTCGTCACGTTGAACGTGAGCGACTGAAAGGGAAATGCATTTTTCAGATGAGAGCTAAACATGACCAAATATATTAAATGACTTACAGGGCTCTTTTGGAGGCTTTAATGACTGCCGATAATCTAATGAGACACTCATCTGATTTCTTGAATTTCTGAAGCTCAAACTCCTCCAGCTCTTCCTCTGATGTCAACAACACAAAGACTAAAGCAGACCACTGGGCAGGTGAAAGGTCACCGGATGAGAGACTTCCTTTGCTAAGGTGGGTCTGAATCTCGTTCACCAGAGTTTGGTCGTTCAGTTCATTCAGACAGTAGAACAGATTGATGGATCTCTCTGCAGGAAGATTAGCTTCTAATTTCTGCTTGATGTACTGAACTATTTCCTTGTTGCTCTGGTCAGTGCCATCTCGCTGTGTTAACAGACCTCGTAAGAGTCCTCGAACTTTCCCCTTGTTGCTCTGGTTAGTGCTGTCTCGCTGTGTCAACCGACCTCGTAAGAGTCGTCGAACTTTCCCCTTGTTGCTCTTGTCAGTGCGGTCTCGCTGTGTCAACAGACCTCGTAAGAGTCGTCGATTGGACTGGAGTGACAGACCGAGGAGGAAGCGAAGGAAAAGGTCCAGGTGTCCATTGTCACTCTCCAGCGCCTTGTCCACTGCAGTCTTGAGAAAATCAATCATGGTTTCATTTCTGTTTTCCTGTTCTGTAGACTCATTATCAAACACACTTGTCTTGTTGATGTCTAGAAACAGATGTGCATAAAGGGCTGCAATAAACTCTTGAATGCTCAAGTGAACAAAGCAGTACATGGTACCAAGAACGATCCCTGTTTCCTCCTTAAAGATCTGGGTACACATGCCTGAGTACACTGATGCCTTATAGACGTCAAGACCACAGGCTTCCAGGTCTGTGTCATAGAAGATCAGGTTGTTTCTTTCCAGATGATGAAATGCCAGTTTCCCCAGTGAAAGGATGGCGTCTTTATCCCAAGAAACATCTGGTGTGTATTCTCCGTCATATTTCCGGCGGCTCTGCTGGATCTGAAAGCGGAGAAAGTGTGTGTACATTTGTGTCAGAGTCTTGGGAGTGTCTTCAGTGTTTGATTCCTGCAGTGTTTTAGAGATCTCATCAGCCTGAGTGTTTCTCACATCATTATTTCTCTTCTCCTCCAGAATGTTGTGGAGAACAGTGGCTGAAATCCAGCAGAAGACTGGGATGTGGCACATGATAAAGAGACTCTTTGATTGTTTAACATGATCTATGATTGTGTTGGCTTGAATATCATCCTTCAATCGTTTTTTGAAGTACTCTTGCTTTTGTGTGTCGCTGAATCCTCGTATCTCTGTCAGCCGGTCGATACAGTCAGGAGGAATCTTACTGGCAGCTGCTGGTCTGCTGGTGATCCAGACGAGAGCAGAAGGAAGCAGATTTCCCTTCATGAGGTTCGTTAGGAGAACATCCAGAGAGGCTGGTGACGATACATCACGCCACGTCTCATTACAATCAAACTTCAGAGGAAGGCGACATTCGTCCAGTCCATCAAGGATGAACAGCACTTTGAACTGATTCCTTCTTGTAAGGTTCAGTCCTTTTGTCTCTGGGAAAAACTGAGTTATAAGGTCCATCAAACTTAGTTTTTCTTTCTCCTTTAAGTTCATCTCTCTGAATGGAAGAGGAAATATGAATCTGATATCTTGATTTTCTTTTCCTTCAGCCCAGTCCAGAACAAACTTTTGCACAGAGACAGATTTCCCGATGCCAGCGACTCCTTTTGTCAGTACAGTTCGGATCTCCTCGTCTTGTTGAGGCGCTTCAAACAAATGTGTGCATTCAACCTGTATCTCTTGTGCTTCATGACGTCTGGAAGCAACTTCAATCTGTCTCACCTCATGTTCAGTATTGACCTGTTCACTGCCACCCTGAGTGATGTAGAGATCTGTGTAGATGTTATTCAGGAGTGTGGAGTCACCTTGCTTCGCCATTCCTTCAAACACACATTGATACTTCTTCTTTAGGCCACATTTCAGCTGATGAATGAAGAACAGCTCATCTAAACACAGGAACAGAAAATAGATAGTTTTAGTCTTCATTTTCTCTCCTACATTTATAAGAGACAATCAGACAGATGATGACGAGTCTCTTGCCTTCTAGAGCATCAGCAGCTTCGTCTTGCTTCATCTCTCTCAGGTAATGTAGTGTGAGATCAAGAGCTGCTGATTTGATACTGGATCTGTTCTCATTAAAGTCCTTCACAAAGTGTTGTGTGTTCTCATGTTGTAATATTTTCTTTAACTTCTCCAGTTCATTCTTCAGAAATGTGATTATTTTCCTCTCAAGATCCTACAAACAAAAGTAAAAGAAAAGGCAGAATACACAATTTAAGCCAAATTGTACATCTACATTTGGTATCAACAATTTATTCAATAATTATGATCCATGTATATAAAAAATCCAGTTAAAGGAACACTCCGACTTTTTGGGACTTTAGCCTATTCACCTTATCCCCCAGAGTTAGATAAGTCCATACATACCTTTTTCATCTCCATGCGTGCTATAAGTATGTTTGACGCACCCACCGCTAGCCTAGCTTAGCACAAAGACTGGATGTGAATGGTTGCAGCTTTCATACTAATCCAAATGAGTGACAAAATAACGCAAACGTTTTCCTATTTACATGTTGTGGTTTGTATAGTCACAGACTGTACAAATATTAAGGCCATATGAGACATGGACATCTTTTAACCGTATAAATAGTCTACTATATTTTCTGAAGGCGAAGCACTGCTACTTGGGCAGAGTGATAACCATCACCTGAGACGCACCGTGACGAGGAGCAGAGAGTTCGCTCAGTGTTGGAGTAATAAAGAGTCAGCAATTACTAACGTTAGATAGAAAAGCATAGTTTATCATGGGTGTTTGCTTTATTGTATGAGCTGTGACAATAAACAGGGGAGACCAGGTAATACAGTACCATGTTTCATTGAATTACAAACAAAAACGCATCCAGATTTATAAATATCACAGAACATGAATAAATAATTATTATTACAGGAATCAATATATTTTAAATGCAATTTATTAGCTGAACCAAATGTATTCAACAGTATATAATATAGGCTACAGTATAATTGCATTACTATAGGATAGAATAAGGGGAAAGTAATAGCACAAATTTTTTTTGCACAATGAACTCACAGCCTATCGTACCCTTTTGCACGCTCAAGTTCGTTATTTCCATGGTTATTTCAAATTTAGGCTAGGCGCGCCGCGCGCAGGGTGCAAGTTCAACGCGCTCGTTTTTTTCCAAGCGCGTACGCGCCGCATCAAGATAAAAACATATAGCCTAATCATATAATAGTGTCATTAACGTTACATTAGATCTGGCTGATGGCACTGTTACAGTAGGTCATCTAAAAACATAACGGAACACTTACCTCAGCCGCAGGTGATCCACTTGTCCTGTCTGTGCTATAGATGGGATAACTTAGCCGTATCCTTCAGCACATTATGGTCCGTGTGGCAAATTCCATTTTTTTTCAAAATATACATTCCTCATTGAAATGTACTGAGCAAACATAATGTCCCTTGATAATCTATTTAGGTGTGTTTGGATCAATATCCAGAGTAAGTTAGCCATTTCTTCATCCAGTCAGCGTTTTTAGTTGGAATTCTGTGAAACATGGTATTACCTCCCCTGTTTACTGTCGCAGCTATTTACAAAAGAGCGAAAACCCATGACTCTAAACTACGCTTTTACTATTTATAAATTGTTACCCAAACTCAGTGCAAACACTGCTCCTCACCACGGCGTGTCTCAGGTGATGCGGTTATCACTCCGTCAAAGTAGCAGTGCTTCGCCTTCAGAGAATAGTTCCCAGGTTTTATACGGTTAAAAAATGTCTGTGTCTCATATGGCCTTGATATTTGTACAGTCTGTGACTATACAAATCACAACATGTAAATAGGAAAACGTTTGCGTTATTTTGTCACTGATTTGGATTAGTATGAAATCTGCAACCATTCACATCCAGTCTTTGTGCTAAGCTAGGCTAGCGGTGGGTGCGTCAAACAGACTAATAGCACGCACGGAGATGAAAAAGGTATGTATGGACTTATCTAACTCTGGGGGATAAGGTGAATAGGCTAAAGTCCCAAAAAGTCGGAGTGTTCCTTTAAAAGAATAACATGTTAACCAAGTTGTGCCAAAATGTGTTTAAAAGGAAAAAAAGAGATTAATTAAATTTCTTTGGTCAATAACATATTTGTTTGTTATAAATATTAAACATTTATAAAAATGTTTTTTCCTACCTGGAAGATCCCAAGAAGATTGTCTTTGAAATGCTTGTGTTTCCTGTGAGTCTGAAGGTCTGAGTCTAATGTCTCATATTGAAGCCTGTAATCACATTAGTAAAATAAAATACTAACTGATATTTTACAGAAAGAGAAATAAGCATTAGCTGTGAATACTCTTGACAAATTGATTGGTGATACCATGATTGGTATTCACTGATACAACTTTTAAAGAGTCAACGTGTGACACAAAATACCTTTTATTAGATGATGGTGTTTTCTCACTGAAGTCTGGTACATCACCTTTAGACCGATCACTCTTCAGAGACACAGAGCTGGACACATGTGAGCCTGATCTTACACTGATGACACAAAGAACATTTGAAAAGGTTTAATATTGCAAATAGTAATTAAATGCAGTATAGCTGTGCATTTGTTCATTATAACTACGGTTTGTAAGGCCTGCTAAATCTATCCAATGGTGGTATTCGATTAGAGGTGAAGGTTTCATCCGTGTTCGTCTCTTCCCATGGCAAAGGGATTTTTTATTAAATGCAATACATTTTAACTTATGTATTAACTCGCTTCATCTGACTCCATAAAATGAAAAGGTTTTTCAATGATATCTGTGCATCATTAAATACATGTTAATGTTTGACTATTCCTTTTAACTCTAATGAAAATAAAGTCAAAGTCTGTTAGAATAATCAAAAATAACAATTTATTTTGTCAGGTAAAAGTATCATGTCAAATTCAAAATCAGTTCAAAAATAATCAATACGACTAATCAAATGGTCTAAAATTAAGAGGAAAAGATGTGAACCCAACATTGTAAGCTACGTGAGCTGAGAGTCACGAGACCCTCAACCACACGGGCTAATCTGAGTACAATAAAAGAGCCCTGAGCTCTCCGTTGCATTTCTTTATATATCCAGACCTCGTTTGATATGTAGAACAAGAGTTTACAGTGGGAAAGTTATGGTGGTCAGACATGCACACTCTCACACTGCACACGTGAAGCGTCTGCTGTTGTGTGGTCAGACACGAGTCTGTGTGTATGTGTGACCATCTCTCCCTCTCATCCCTCCAACTCTTAAAAACCGTATTACCTTTTGTTTTACTAATTTGGAAATAGAACACTTGTACCATTCACACTGAGACATTTCAACTAATACTAAACATTAGGGCTGCATGATTAATCGCATGATGTTGTTATGCGCATCTAATCAGTAAAGCTGGTTCCATGATTAGTAGTAAATCACCTTCACCTGCTTTCAGATGGAGCGGCATTTACTACAAAGAGCCGTAGATCACTGACAAGCTGAGCCAAATCGCGTTAATATCGAGGACGTATCGCCAATGATATTTAATGCGATATGGCTCAGCTTGTCAGTGAACTACGGCTCTTCGAACACAGCAAGAACTCAGTGTTAAATTAACAAACCTGGGAGTGTATATGAGTCCACACTCAAGAGCGTTAAAGTTAATGAGATAATTAAGTGAATGATTGAGTGATGATTGAGCATTATTGAAAACACCTAAAGCAGAATTACTTAAGGAGAAAAACGGAATTTCAGGTCACCATTATGGAGATGAGTGTTTGCTTTAGCTGGGCTCTGGACCTGTGTTGTAGTTGAGACCACCTCACTCGAGTCCGAGTCGAGACCAAGACCAGAGACCAGTGAGGGTTGATTACCTAATTTACTTTTAAATTTACTTAAAGTTTAAGAAATATGATCAGTTTAGGGTAAAAAGGCCACATAGTAGGTGGTGTTAAAAGTAATTTTATTACAATTTGTCATGCACTTTGCGCACTAGAAAATCACCAATCACTGGGCGTGTCAATCAATTTAAAGAAATATTTTATTAACATACATTAATAATCATGAAAAATATTTTTGAATTGAACTCGAGTGGACTCGGGAATAAGTCCGAGTCCTAAAAAAAAAAAAAATGTTCGAGTACGAGTCAATTCCGAGTCCAAATGCACACGAGTCCATGACAAGACCAAGACCATTAAAATATGGTCTCGAGACCGAGTCCGAGACGAGTCCGAGTCTCGAGTACTACAACACTGCTCTGGACCCTTACACTATTAAGTTCATACTTTGTTCGACTTTTGTATCGGAGTTATACCTGCCAGATGAACAAAGAAAAGAGTGATTTAATGGTGTTGGTTAAAATATAACATTCATCATTTGAACTAAATGCTGAGATTTATGCGATTGGTTACAGCACAACTGTGGTTCTGCTTAAATATTCAGAATTTAAGATATAACATAAAAGATTTCTTAAAAGTTGTAAAAAAAAAATAAAAATCCTTTCTTAAGGCACATAAAGACCTCAAGATTTAGTCAATGCATCTCGATTATGGTGACGAGCAGAATATTCAATTGGGAAAAGTAAATTACATAGAAAATTCAGATCATAATTTATTTATACCGCAATGCATGATGGGAGCCTTTAATGAGTTGTGATTGGTGGCAACAAGGATTAATTTTGTCACCACTCATCTAAATTGACAGAGTGTCTCAAAGATATAAAATGCTGGATGACGCGTAATTTCCTGCTATGAAATTTAGATAAAACGGAGGTATTACTTATTGGTCCAAAAAACTACACACAAAACCAAAACCTTACAATACAACTTTAATATAGACGGATGTCCTGTTACTTTATCCGCTACAGTAAAAGACCTGGGTGTTATACTAGATCGCAACTTGTCTTTTGAAAATCATATTTCATATGTTACAAGAACAGCCTTTTTCCACCTTAGAAACATTGCTAAGCTACGTAACATGCTATCTATTTCTGATGCAGAAAAATTAGTTCATGCATTCATGACCTCGAGACTAGATTACTGTAATGCTTTATTAGCCGGTTGTCCTGCATCCTCAATAAACAAGCTACAGTTAGTGCAAGATGCAGCTGCTAGAGTTCTAACTAGGTCAAGAAAATATGATCATATAACACCGATTTTATCATCTTTACACTGGTTACCTATTCAGTTCCGTATCAATTACAAAGTATTGCTATTGACCTATAAAGCCCTAAATGGTTTAGCTCCTGTGTATTTAATGGACCTTCTATCGCCCTACAATCCACCGCGTTCCTTAAGATCACTAAATTCGAGGCTTCTGATCATTCCTAGGATATCCAATTCCACTAAAGGAGGGAAGGCGTTCTCGCATTTAGCTCCAAAACTCTGGAATAGCCTTCCAGATATGGTCAGAGGCTCTGACTCGCTGACACAGTTTAAAACTAGATTAAAGAGGCATCTCTTTAGTCAAGCATTCACATAATGCTTACCTTTTAGTCCTCTGTTATGCCATACGGATCTGTTTGCCACTGAAACGCATTACCGCGACAGTGGGGCTCGACAGCCTTAGTCAAACGGGTCGGCGGCTCGGCGCGTATGGTTGGGTTGCGGAGAGTTCAGGTTACGGAGAGTTTGTGAGAGAGTGGTTTTCTTTTTTTTTTCTTTTCTTTTTTTTTTTTTTTTTTTTTATTTTTTATTTAACAGTCAGACATACATACAAACAAACCAACATAGTGCAGTAGTGAGCAATCTTGTAAATCCATAATTCCAGCAGTGGCAAGAGTGATTAAGTGTTTGATCTAAGTGTGTAAGTGAGCGTGTATGAGCGTGGGTATGTGTATGCGTGTGTACACAAAGTAACCATTTATTATTTATTACCATTGTCATTACCATCACTCCCCACTACCACCATACTGCCCATATTGTTTTTGTAGATTTTTATTTCCATCCTTCCTCCTATGTAACAATTGCCATTGTCAATCCTGTACAAAATATGATAATATAATAATATAATATAATAATATAATATAATATAAGACAACCTTCCCCCACATCTCATCAGTCCCTATCTTTTCTATATTTTTCTTTTTTTTTGTGTGTGTGTTATGTGCAATGTCTAAAGTGCATTAAAAGAGGGAGTACAGTGCGAGAATGTCTCAAATTGGGCCAGAGATGCTGTCCCGTTGAAACTACTTCTCGCCTGTCTTGCCTGCCTTGGTGTTTGCGATGTTTATCCAAATATACTTATTCTTTTTTTTTTTTTTTTTTTTTTTCCTTTTCTATGTTGTGGTGCATTAAAAACCCATGAAGAGATAAGGGGGAAGTTATTGCATTAGTGATGACAATGACGCTTAATTCTAGTTCTACATTCTAATTCTACAGCATTGACAATGGCAATATTGATGATGATAATAATAATAATAATAATAATAGTAGTAATAATAATAATAATAATAATAATGAATGACAATGATGATGGCAGTGGTGATCACAACGGTGAGAGCAAAAGACAGCAACAACAGCAATTACAACAATGAAACAACAAAAAATTAAATAAAAGTGAAAATAGTAATCATAACAGTGACAGTAAAGATAGCAATAACAATGATGACAAAAACAAGTTCGAACAACTAAAATGCACAAATATTCGTGGGTTGGTTATAGTCTGAGTTAAGAACAGAGAAGGGATTCATAGCTGTAAGAGGTCAGAAAGTGTTGGACGGTAGAGGTCAGTTTCCGATGTGTAATTATGAAGGGGAGATGCGAGTTCCATTGCAATGAAGTCTGTAATAAGATTTTTCCAAATGTTAATGTGTAATTTATTTCTGGTTTTCCAGTTCATGAGGATAGTTTTCTTGGCGATGGTTAGCGCTATGAGGAGTATTTTAGAGTTTATAGTTTTATCAGTGATTATTGTAAGGTCCCCCAGCAAGCAAAGGGAAGGCGACAATGGGATGTGGCAGCCAACTATAGTGGATAGTGATTGTGTGACCTCTTCCCAAAAGTGTTTGATTGGAGTGCAGTGCCAGGTTGCATGGATGTATGTGTCTGTAGAATTTTGATTGCAATGTGTGCAAACTTCTGATGTGAAACCCATTTTAGCTAATCTTTTGCCTGTGTAATGTGTTCTGTGGAGTATTTTGTATTGTATTAACTGAAGATTCGCATTTTTGGACATGAGATAGACATTTTTACAGATTTGGGTCCAGAAGTTGGCATCAGTGGCTATTGAAAGATCATTTTCCCATTTTATTGTTGGTAATAGTCTGAAGTTGATTTGAGATAATTTTGTATATTTTAGAGAGCAGTTTTTTTGGAGAGGAAATGTTGACCATGTCTGATATTGCCGGTGGAAGTTCTAAATTTGTATCTCTGATGTTTATTTTTGCCAGGACAGAAGATTTGATTTGTAGGTATTTTAAAAATTCGTTTTTCCCGATGCCATACTCCTGAGCCAGTTGTGGAAATGGTTTAAATGTGTTGGCTTTGAAAATATGCTTAATGTGGGTGATACCCCTTTCCGCCCATGTGTGAAAATTCAAT